ATAACCTACAGAAAATACTAAGATGAAAGAGAAGCCCGGCACTGGTGGTTTATACCCTTAACCCTAGCTACTAAGGAGACTGAGATCTGTAGGATCTAAGCCAGCCAGGGCAGAAAAGTCTGTGAGATTCCATCTCCAATTAACCATCAAAAAGCTGGACTGGAAGCTGGGCACTGGTGATTCACTCCTGTAATCCTAGCTACTCAGGAGGCTGAGATCTGAGGGTCATGGTTCAAAGCCAGCCTGGGCAGGAAAGTCCGTGAGTCTCATAAGAGTCTCAATTAATCTCCAGAAAACCAGAAGTGGTGGTGTGGCTTAAGTGTAAGAGTGCTCACCTTGAGCTGAAGAGCTCATGGATAGCCCCCAGGCCCAGAGTTCAAGCCCACAACTGACAAAAAAAACTGGGTTGGCAGTATGCTCAAGTGGTAGAGTGCCAGCTATTGAGCAAAAGAGCGTAAGGCCCTATGTTCAAACCCTAGTAGGGGAAAAGTTTTACCAGGGGGTTGAGAAATAAGGAGAAAAAGAAAAAGGAAGGAAGGAAGAGAGGGAGGGAAGAAGGGAGGGAGGGAAGGAGGGAGGGAGGGAGGGAGGGAGGGAAGAACACAGTCCCCATAGAAACCCTTCAGGTAAGCAGCAGCGGTTATGGATAGCCACTCATCTTCTGTTCCTACTAGGCCCCTGTCTCTATGTTAAAGCCCCTGTCCCCATGTCTTGTGGTCCTCCTGTCTTTCTTCCACTGTGAGATCAATAGCAACATGATCTCCAGTTCATGGCTTAGCTTATATGACATGACATCTAGACATTTTTTGGTTTGCTCCTGAGGACCTAGTCCTCACCTTTCTCCAAAGAAAATGTATACATTTATCAAGCAGAATGTGATACCCTGAAATTCACTTGCCTTATAGAATGCTTAAGTTACTCTACTCAGCATATGCATTACTTCACTAAAGTATCATTTCTTTTGTAACATGAAACTTAAAAGCAACTGTCAGCAGGTGTGAAGAATGCATCATTATTAACTACAATGTTCATGCTATAAGTAAACCAATTGAACTTATCCCTTCTAACATTCCCCAACACTCCATGCTCTGTTAACCACCGATGTACCCTCTGCTTCTGTGACTTAGGTATTTTGTAAATTATACCAGTGAGATTGAGCACTGTTGTCTTTCTGTGCCTGGTTTATTTCACTTACTATGAACAATCTCCAGTTCCACCTATTTGGTCACAAAGGATAGAGTTCAACCTTTTTATGGCTGCATAGTGTTCCATTGTGGGTATACATCTCTATGTATTCCTCTGAGTGGACACGTGACATAGGTTGATTCTGTATCTTGACTATTCCACATCTTGACTTTCTTTGTATCCAGAAGTCGGATTACAGGATAATAGGATAGTTCTATTTTAATTGGGGGGGGGGGGGGAGAGAGGGGAGGGATTCCATATTGTTTTCCATCCTGACCAAAGAAGTCTTTATACTCCTATAAATACAGAAAAGTATTGTCTTTTGTTCACATCCCTCTCAACATTTTCTATAATTCCATTCTCCAATAATTCTTACCCTAACCATGTCATGGTGGCTTTAACTTGCATTCCCCGGATGACTGGTGATATTGAGCATTGTTTCTATATACCAGTTGGCCATTTGTGTCTCTTCTTGGAGAAATGTCTATTCAAGTTCTGCCCACCAGTCCATCAGCTGATTTACATTTTTGCTTTTCAGTGGTTTGATTTCCTTTTTTATTTTGTATAGCAACCCTCTAGCTGACAGATGGCTTCCAAATCCATTCTCTCTGTCCAAAGGTTGTCTCTTCACTCCATTTTTTTCTTTTTTTTATTGTGAAAATACTGTATAGAGGGGTTACAATTACATGGGCAAGATTATGAGTACATTTCTTATGAAGCATTGTAGCCTCCTCCTTTGTTTCCCCTTCCCATCCCCTCCCATCCTCCCCCTGCTCCCCCCACCCAATCCTCCTCCCCCTCCCCTCCCTGCACCAAAGTTGTAAAGTTCATTTTCAACATAACGACTTGTACATCTCATTGTTGCAATGGGGCCACCTGTATCCCTATTTAAATGATTTGTTTTTTCCCTTCCCCTCCACAAATTATATCGACATCAAATACAGTGAAAGCAGGGGTTATACCATGGGAGAGGGACCTCTTCACTCTTTTGATTATTTCCTTTACCATGTAGCATACCATTTGTCTATTTTTGCTTTTGTTGCCTATGTTTAGGGGACATATCTCAAAAATCACTGCCCAAGTTACATAGAGCTTTTCTCCAGGAGAACATCATGCATGGGCTCCACCAAAGAGACTTTTGGTCTCTTGTTAGGTTCAGGCCTTGGTATCAGCATGAGATGGAAGTCAAGAGGAGATAGAGGGGCTGGGAAGGTGGCTCAGTGGTAGAGCGCTTGCCTTGCATGCCTGTAGGCCCTGGGTTCATTCCTCAGCACCACATAAGCAGAAAAAAAGCCAGAAGTGGCGCTGTGGCTCAAGTGGTAGGGTGCTAGTCTTAAGCTGAATAGCTGAGGGACAGAGTCCAGGCCCAGAATTCAGGTCCCACAACCAATAACAACAAAAAGATAGAATCTCACAGTTTCATCACCTCCACTCCAAAGACGGATTTACCATAAAGCTAATGAGACTCAAACTTTATTTTATTTATCTTTTTTTCAGTGTTAGAGCTTGAATTCAGGGCCTGGGTGTTGTCCCCGAGCTCTTCTGATCAAGGCTAGTGCTCCATCACTTTAAACCAGAGAATGCCACTTCTGGTTTTCTGGTGGCTAATTGGATATGAAAGTGTCACAGACTGTGTGGGCTGGCTTCATCCAAGATACTCAGATCTCAGCCTCCTATGTAGATAGGATTACAGACATGAGCCATCAACAACTTAAACTTCATGTGCCGTGTTCCTTGAAACGCTCTGGAAGGAGTATTGGCAATGTGATAACATGGGTTATAACTGAATATTGAATATGACCATTGTCTCTTTCCACGACATTGCTTCTCTTACAGGTATCACTGGAGTGGCTGTAAGCATTTTGGCATCTGTCTTAGGAGACACTGAGTTGGAGATTCACTTAGTTGGGTTTGGTGAGATGAATTACCATGGGTAGAATTCTCTTCCAAGTGTGGTAAGTTATTGTTCACAAAGTTTCAGAGGCTAGGAAGAACAGGGCCCTGGCTGACATCAGGGCTAAGGATCTGTTCCTTCTTTCCTGGTCCTGGTACTCCTCAAGGAGTAACCTCAGCCTGTTACCACCATATGACCTTCTTTTCCCACCTCCCTGTCAGAATCCAGAACTTTCTTCTGCTTTATCATCTACTCCAGTCTTAACCTGTACCTCTATCCTCCTCCCCTCTCCTTACTCTCCCAAGCACAAATCCATTCCTTCCTCTTTTGTCCTGGGATGGTCTAACTCAGTGACAAGCATTTAGCTTCTTAGTATAAAACTTCATGATACACTACCAACACAAAAATTATAAATATATGCCATCAAGTCCAAGAGTATTTATAATCATTCACTATTCAAGAAAACTTGGACTTCCCTAAACTATTACAACATTTTTTTTTTTTTTTGTCGGTCATGGGACTTGAACTCTGGGCCTGGGCACTGTCCCTCAGCTCTTCAGCTCAAGGTGAGCACTCTAGCACTTGAGCTACAGCACCACTTCTGGTTTTCTGGTGGTTTATTGGAGATAGGAGTCTTATGGTCTTTCCTGCCGGGGCTGGCTTTGAATGGTCTTTCCTGCCCGGGCTGGCTTTGAATGGTGATCCTCAGATCTCAGCCTCCTGAGTAGCTAGGATTACAGGCGTGAGCCACCGGCGCCCAGCTTATTACATCTTTAAGAAAGAAATTTGCTGTTAATATCCCCAAGTTTGACAGTCTAAAGCTTTTAAATATTGTGACCAGGACGAAGTTAGAAAGCTGAAACTATTAACAACAAAGTATATTTTGACAAACTATGCTAAAGGAAAGACTTTAATAAAATGGTGATATTTTTAATATATAAATAGATGACCCAAAAGGATAAGGCAAAAATGAAATAAATAAGGGTTGAACATGGTAGCAAATGCATGTAATCTCAGTGACATAGGAGGTAGAGACAGGATGATTGGGATTTGAAACCTGCCTGGGCAGCTGTCTCAGCAAACAAGACAGGTAAGGCAGTATACTCTTAATAATCTATACTACACAAAATACAGAATTAGAAGCATCACAGTGCAAGGCTCATTCATCCAGGAGAAAAATCATGAGACCTACTTAAAAAAATAAATTCATGTAAGAAAGAATGGAGGCACAACTCCAGTGGTAGAGAATTTGTACATATATAAAATATATGTATACCTGCATATATAATAGTAGTTTGAATGTGTCTGGCTGTTAATAAAATAGTGTGCAATTTTTCTGGATATTCTGTAAATGCATCTGTCATAATATTCAAGTTTGTAAGTTGTGGTTTCTTTTATCATTGTAGATTTTCTTCTGCATCTAGTTTTGTTCACTTTTCCTCCAAAAGGTACTGAACACATTACTTAAGTATTGGATGCCCAAATATCTGGACCCATCCCTCCCAGGTTACTTTACAGTCTGTCTGGCTATGGCGCCTTGGGGCCAGCTGCCTCCTTCAACAGCAGGTGTACTTGGTTCCAGAAATGTCTCTTCATCTCCTTGGGCCCAGGGGTGATGAAGCATACTTCATAATCAGAGCTGCCTCCCCTCTCCCTTTCAGTTTTTTTAACTCAGCTTACACACTGTGTGTTATCTATTTATGATCATTTTTCTCAATGGTGTCTTTACAGCATGCTGTTTCCTCTGTTTCCTGAGAAGAGCCTGATTGAAAGAACTTTTGTAAAACAAAATAATGCAGAACAATTGGTGGTGGTGGCGGCGATGATGGTGGTGGTGGTGGTGTGTATGTATGGGTGTGCACGTGTATGCAAGTACTGGGGCTTGAACTCAGGCTCTCCTGTTCTTGTCTGGCTTTTTCACTAGAAGCTGGTGTTCTAACACTTGAATTACAGCTCCACTTTTGGCTTTTTGGTAGTTAATTGGAGGTAAGAGTTTTACTGACTTTTCTTGCACAGGCTGGCTTCGAACTGGGATCCTCAGATCTCAGCCTCCTGAGTAGCTAGGATTATAGGCATTAGCCACTGGTACCCGACATTACTTTTTACATGTTTCTGTATCTACTACGTGAAAGGTCTAAACAGGAGACTAAAACTACGGCTAATGCTATAATGTTTAACTCTTCCTTTTAATTTTTCAGTGCTGAAGTTTGAACTTATACTTTCTAACATGCACCACTGAGCCACACTCTCCAGATCCTTTTGCATTGTTATTTTTTCTGAATGACTTTTGTTTTTTCCCTGGGGTTGGCCTCTGACCACAAGCATCCTACTTATGCCTCTTATGTAGCTGGGATTACAACTATTGTGTGCGACCACACCCAGCTGATTATGTCTTGGGAAAGCAGGTATTATACAATATAAAGAAAAAAATAATTGTAATGTAATCAATGATGAGTCATGCTATGGAGAAGTCAACGTGCATATTGGAACTCTGGAGCTCCACACTGCCAAAACAACGAAGGTAGAATGTGGTCATGATGACATACTTTAAAGCTCCCTAGGAAAATAACTACAACTCCCAACTTTCTGTGAGGTAGGAACTTGAGAACTTGTAAATAAGTGACTAACCTCAATGATACTTGGCATGAATTCTCTGGTCTTTAAGCAAGAAAAGTTAACGAACAAAACATTGTTATGAGAAGTTCACATAGAGTTTAGCTGGGCACTGGTGACTCACAACTGTCATCCACTTACTCAAGAGGCTGAGATCTAATGATAGAGGTTCAAAGCCAGCTCAGACAGAAAAGTCTGTGATACTCTCATGTCCAATTAACCACTCAAGTAGTAGAGTGACAGTTTTGCGTGAAGCTAAAGGACAGATTTCAGGCCCTGAGTTTAAGCTTTAGGATCTGCACACACATACACACACACACATCACAAATAGAGTTTAGGAAAACCAGTCCCTTCTGCTGCTAGCTAGTTGGTGTGGCTCCTGTAACTCTGCACCCTTCCTGGGATGGATCCAGCCCTCTGAGCAGCCTGGTTCTGGAACATCCAGTTCAACTGGATCACTGAAGATGCCCTTTGCCAACCTGGGCACAGTGTACCAACAATCCAGTCCTCTCTTTGCCTTTCCTTTTTTTTCCCCTGGGCCCTGATCTTACATCTAAACCCATAGAAAACTGCCCCTGGCTCAGTAAGGTGGTAATGGTGGTGATGCCAAAGAAAGATGGTCAGGATCCATCAGAAACGAGTTGCTGGCAAGGCAGGCTGCATCAACACAATGGGCATCTGTTCTGCTTAGAAAAGACTTTTGCTCCATGTGTGGCGCCCCAGTCGGAGTCATGCTCTTTGGGTATGTCACAAAATGGTCTAATCTATACATAGAGGCTACGGGGCCAGAGTCCTCACCCCTCTCATCAATGGAAGCTGCAGAATTTAAATCTCATTACTGTGATTCTCCTCAAATATGTACACATTATTATTTGAGATTCCGGTTATTATTTGAGATTCATTTGAGCTCAGTGTGGAGTTAGCTTTGAATCAGAAGTTACCAGTGGCTCCCCTTCAACATGATTTTACTGGGTATCTACAGAAAGTTGAGGTGTTTAATCGTTCCCAATCTCTGCCTCATATGGCCTTATGATCTCATTGTCATTGACTTAGTAATGTCATAGTTTCAAGAGTTGGCCAATCAACAGTTCTCAGATGATAAGTGACAGAACTAGAGGAAACTGACAATCTACTTTATCAACTTTAAAAATAGCTCCAGGCTTGGCACTGGTGGCTCACACTGTAATCACAGCTGCTCTGGAGGCTGAGATTTGAGGATCATAGTTTGAAGCCAGCTCAGACAGGAAAGTCCATGACACTCTTACCTCCAAAAAAAAAAGGCCAGAAGTAGAGCTGTGGCTCCAGTCTAGAGCACTAGCCTTAAGCAAAACAGCTCAGGGTCAACACCCAAGATACGAGTTCAAGCCACACACGCACACACACACACGCACACACACACACACACACACACACACACACACACACACACAATTGCTCAAGAGATTGGAAGGTTATTCAGCGGCAGTTTGTGCTGTGCATGAGCAAGGCCCTGGATTTGATTCTCATTATCAGAAATAAAAGCAAGCCACACACTGGTGGTTCATGACTCTAATCCCAGCTGCTCAGGAAGCTCAGCTCTGAGGATCCTGGTTCAGAGCCAGCCCAGGCAGACAAATTCAGGGGGCTCTTATCTCCAAATAACCAGCTAAAATCCAGAACTGGAGTCATGGCTCAAAAGTTTAAAGTGTCAAATATGAACAGAAAAAGTTGAGCCAGAATATAAGGCACCGAGTTCAATCTCCAGTACCAACACACACACACACACACACACACACACACACACACACGAAAAATAAAATGAAAACAAAAATAACCCTGAAGAGAGAGTATTGGTGTGAGGCTCAAAGCTAGTTAGAAAGACAGAACTAGTACTTAGCTCAAACAACCCAGCTCCCAACTCTACTCTCCTAACTCTTTTCCTTTCCTTAAATCCCAAATTCACATTCAAGATACAAAATATATTTACTGACTGGCAAAAGAATGGTCCTGTTTGGTCTATTTACCAACGGCTGTAAGAGTTATAATGTAAATTTGTTTTTCAAGAAACTTTATCTATTTTTGAAACCAAAGTCCAACAGAAAGCTGGCCATAAATATTTTACATTTCAACTTGATTGATAAGGTGGAATTAAAGGGCAAATATCAAATATTGACATTCATCTCTATTATTTTACACATAAGGAAAGTCTTGTCAAAGCTTGCCTTTAAAAAAAAAGCTTGCCTTTTATAAGTATGATATTTATATTATATAATAAACATGAAATAATCACTAGCTGACTAAAATGACTTAACAGAACCTTTGGACAAGAGATTTGCAAAATATTCTAGACAGATAAAATTGTGAAATATATTTGGGAGTAGAAAGACAAGCTGAACTTTGCTGTTTTTGCCCTTTTCCCTTCAGGATCCAGTCACTTTTAGCCTAGTGTACCATGTGGAGCAGTTGAATTGATGAAAACGTTGTCAAGACATTGTCACCATTTGCCTCAAGCCAGGCACTGGTGGCTCATGCATTTAACCCTAGTCACTCAGGAAGCTGAGATCTGAGTTAGTAACAGAGATCACAGTGGCAAACTGGGCAGGAAAGTTCATGAGACTCTTATTTCCAATTAACCCCCATAAAACTGGAAGTGGAGCTGTGGCTCAAGTGGTAGAGCACTAGTCTTGAGCCAAAAAGCTAAAGGATAACACCCAGGCCTTCAGTTCAAGCCCCAATAATGGCCAGGTGCTGGTGGCTCACATCTGTATTCCTAGGTACTTAAGAGGCTAAAATCTGAGGATCTTGGTTGAAGCCAGCCCAGGCAAGAAAGTCTGAGCCTCGTATCTCCAATAAACTGCCAGAAAACCAGAAGTGTCACTATGGTTCAAGTGGCAGAGCACTCACCTTGAGCTGAGTTGCTGAGGGACAGTGCCCAGGCCCAGAGTTCAAGCCCCACGACCAAGAAAAAAACAAAACAAAACAAAACAAAAATCTTTTCCAAAGAGATCTAGGAAAAATACTGTCAATACAAAATTTGAATGCTAAAGAGAAACTGAGGCAATACCAGAAAGGTGTTTTTTTTTTCAGGGGAGAGAAGGTGAGGGAACAGGTGGGAAATGGTAAAGAAAAATGATGTACTCAGGATTATTTTTTAATGTAGATTATTAAACAAGGTGGGGGGTGGAGAAAAGAAAAATGATCAACCATGGGCATAGCACAGAAGTTAATGTCTATGCTTCCTCTCAGCCCGGTGGAGAGAATACTGATATCATTGCTATGTCCTCGATGAAGAAACACAGGATATGACCAGAATGGCAAAGCTGGGTCTCATTTCTATCTCCTGATTGTCAACTCTACCTGCTCTCCACTCCCCAGGTGTGGAAACCCTATTGGTTGTATGTGGCATATTCAGAAATGTTTCTGACATCAACCCCATGAAATGAATATTATTCCCGATTTCGAAATTAAGAATGTGCCTCAGGCCTCAGGGAGGTGAGGTTATTTTGACAGAGTGCACCATGCCCAGCTCTGCCCTTCCTATCATTTTGGTGCTGCTCAAACACACTCTGAACCTATTCTAAGGAGCTTGAACATCTTCAAAAACTTTTTTTGTGTGTGTGCCAGTACTGGGGGTTGGTACTGGGAACTGGGTATTGTTCCTTGGCTTTTTTACTTTGCTTAAGAATGACACTCTACCACCACAGCTCCATTTCTGTTTGTTGTTGTTGTTGTTGTTTGGTGATGACCTGAGGATAAGAGTCTCATGGACTTTCCTACACAGGCTGGCTTTGAACCACATCCTCAGATCTCAACATCGCCAGTAGCTAGGATAAGTCCAGAGGTCCCTGCCTCCTCAAGAACAGCTAATGTGTATCTGGGTTTTATTTTTATTGTTATTATAAATGTGATATACAGCGGGATCACAGTTCATGACTAAGTTGTATATTAAAGGAAATACTGAGAAGCCATTTTGGATAGCCAAGCAATGCAATAAAGTTCCAGGGCAGGCATTCGTGTTTGTCCCTGCTTATTTGACCTGTAATAGATTGGCAAACATGTCTGGCTGCCATTGGATTGGCATGTCCTCCTGACAAACTGACAGTAACTATCCCACACTTGTACCCAGAGAGTTTGGTTTTCCATATTTCCCTTTTACATTTCCTTTTGCAGCCATAATTCATGATGAAAAGATTGTTTGAACATTAATTTCCTTAATATAAAAACAGTGGCCACTCCAGAACAAAGATATAGGAAAAACTCTAATGGCTTCATTTTTGGGTTGGAAGGAGGGGCAATACAAAAATTTTTTTTCTGGAAGCTTCCTTAACAAAGAAAGTGGAGTTTTAATTTAATTTTGATGTTAATTTTGGGTAACTATGATCAGTAGAGATTATCATGACACTGTGGCCTTCTAGGTTATCATTAGGTGTCTCAGCCAGATAGAGCACACCACACACTTCTGAAAAGGAAGAAAAAGTTTAATGCCAGGAAGACTGGCAGACTGTCTTCATCAGAACAGAGAGCAGCAGCTGCCCTTAAGCTACAGGAGTATTTATAGGGAGAGACCCTGCAAGAAGATAGGAGACTGAGTTGTGAACAGGAGGCAAGGTAAAGTTAGTGGCCAGGCCAGGTGGCCAGGCCTGGCCAGTGACCTTGAGATCAGATAGCCAGGCAGAACCCTGGCCACTGGAATGTCAGCCCTCACAGAATGACTTCACCCCAGCTAACATTCCACCCTTTTTCTTTGTTACTGGCCAGGATAAGAGACAGTGGTCTGTCTTCTGAAGCTGCTTCCTGCTGAAAAGGGATGATGACCCTATGGGGTAGCCTCCTGAAGGTCTGGGCATCCAGTGGACTTGTGTGTGGAAAGTTGACTGTAGCCTTTCCATAGACATATAGGAGCATCAGGTTAAACTCTGGCTTGTTCCAGAAGCACCTCCTGAAAGCATTTAAAGAGACAGTGTAGCAAAAATGCCCATGTTATAGGGCAGTTAGAGGGCCAAGGAATGGCATGAGCAAGGAAGTAATGTGTCCTAGCAGGGCTGAGGCCCTGAAGCCACCAGAGCCAATGGGCATCATGATTTTTTCGGGCCACTTCTTGCTGGCATGGGGTATTAAGGAGTCACTGGGGTACTTGGGGTCTGGGCCTGCAGTGGGCAAGGCAGGGCAGCATAAGTTAAGTTTCCAGTTTACCTGCAGTAATAGGATAGCCTTTGACTTGTTCTCAGGTGGTATCCTGAGTGAGGGTTGTTAAACAAAAAGCAGCAAGAAGAAGGGATGTGTTGGGTTTTATAAGACAGAGTTTATAAAACAGTATAAGGAAAGACTTTGGAAAGAGAATTGAGGAAGCAGAAAAACAGTTTTCTTTAGGTAAGAAAGGATTTGGAAAGTAAGAATTGTCTTAAATGTTTGCTCAGAAGGAAAAAATTAAGCCAAACTACAGAATGACTTCACCCCAGCTAAAAGTAATCACTAAATAGAGGCATTTAACATTGTGAAAGAAAAGAAGTCATTTTCTTATGGGTGAATAATCATGCAAAAATTGATAGGCTAAAGACTTGTTATACTTACAACAAGCCAAGGCCTAATCCATGTTGGATAAAAGTCATACCTTCATGTCAACAGAAAACTTGCTAAGTCATTGTATAGCCTAAGTTACTCAATGAGCTGAACTCAGTAATTATTCAATTAATTACTCTATATACTCAGCAGTCAAGAAAATTTGCAATGGAAAGAATTTTCTAAAATGTAGTCTGGCACCAGTGGCTCACTCTCCTAGCTATTCAGGAGGCTGAGATCTGAAGACCTCAGTTCAAAGTTAGCCAGGAAGGAAAGTCCCTAAGAGTCTGATCTCCAGTTAACCACCAAAAAACCAGAAGTGGAGTAAAGACTCAAGTGGTAGAATGTTAGCCTTAAGTGAAAAAGTTCAGGACAGTGACTAGGCCCTGAGTTCAAGCCCCAGGACCAGTACACCTACCCCCACTACACAAAGAGTACAAAATTTTAAACTTTATTAAGATTTCCTTGCTTCATTCTTACGTAATTACCATTTTTAATTCAATGAATAGTTGCTAAGAATTAATTTTTGTTGTTTTGCAATATACTGACACAGTGGACACATGCTATTTTTGACCAAGCACCCCACTTTGTCTACTGGTAGAAGTATCCTGATTTTTATTTGAGTATCCACATCTGGTCTATGTAGCCCATGTGGCTGGTGGCTACCTATGAGATGGAACAGATACCAATATTCATGTCATACCAGAAATAACTGTTGGATACCATCAATCCAGATCTCCATTGTGATAATATAAAATAAGATTTATTGCTAGGCACCAGTGGCTCACATCTGTAATCCTAACTACTCAGGAGGCTGAGATCTGAGGATCACAGTTTGAAGCCAGTCCAGGCAAGAAAGTTTGTGAGACTCTTATAATCGATTAGCTACCAAAAAAAGCCAGAAGTGGAACTATGGCTCAAATGGTAAAGCCACTAGCCTTGAGCAAAAATAAAGCTCAAGGACAGCACCCAGGCCCTGATTTCAAGCTCCAGGTCTGGCACACATGCACACACACAGACACACACACACACACACACACACACACACACACACACATACACATGCACTTTAAGTACTTTATAAACTTCAGAGCACATCTAAAACTCCTCATTTTAGTATGTTAGTAGTCATCACATTTCACTTTTCACTCACAAGAATTGAGTGATGTTCTACAAATAAACTGAGTCCTTTACAGAGAATTTTTTTAAAAATCAAGAAAAAAATCCTTAATATTAAATAAATGGCCATTTCTCAATTACTTAGTCTCTTTTCTCTTGAAGACCTGTTGAAAATAAAGTGCCCTTCACCCAGATGGTTATGCAACCCCTTGGCTTTAGTGGCAGTGAGTCCTTCCTTGTTGCTCAAGATAAACATTGAAACTAAGACAGGTAACCAGAGGCTATGGATGGAGCTCTGATCAGAGCTTTGCCAGAGCTTTTCCTATCAGGGAAAGAAAAAGAAAAAGAAAGGAGATATGGAGGAAGTGAGGGAAAGTTTGGAATGAGGACAGATTTAGAAGAAGAGAGGGAGAGAAAGGAGGGAGGGAAGACAAAAGGAAGGAAGGAAGGAAGGAAGAGAGGGAGGGAGGGAAGAAGGGAGGGAGGTGGCAACATAAGTGAGCAGCATATCTAAATCTACTCACTGGAGAGAAGAGTTACTCTCTTCTATTCATAGAAGCTTCTAGATGAGGCCAATTGGTAAGAAGCCATTGATCTCCCTTGTAGACTATACCCCAGCACCTTTCCCACATGCCTAGCACATGTCCAGGATTATACGGTTGTTTATCTAGGCCCATCATCCCAATTTCTACCCCTGTTGTTAATACACATACCATTAGCACAAAGGTTTCCCCAAAGAATGGCTATTTGAGGGCAAGTGAACCAAAATTAAATGTCCACTGTGGGAGGAAAAGCTGGAATGGGGACTGGTGGGTAAGGTCCAGATCCCTCCACTCAGTTGAATAATGGTAGGGAACCAGCAGAAATAGAAGAATCCTTCATTTCAACCCACCCTTCTAGGATTTAGGAAGACATGTTTGTGAAGGCAGGAGAAGTGTGCATATTGTATTTTATTTGTGTGTGTGTGTGTGTGTGTGTGTGTGTGTGCACATGTTAGTACAGGACTTGTACTCAGGGCCTGACACTGTCTGAGCTTTTTGTCTCAAAGCTGGTGCTCTATCATGTGAGTCACATCTCCCCTTCTGGCGTTGTTAATCCTCAGTTGGAGCTAAGAGTCTCACAGACTTTCCTGCCCAGTTTAACTTAGAACTATACTCCTCAGATTTCAGATTCCTGAGTCCCTGGAATTACAGGCATGAGCCACAATATCAGGGAGCTTGATGTATATTTTGTCCTTGAGTTGGAAAGCCTCCCTCATTAGTCTTGGCACACATTTTCCTAGGCTCTGCAAATATTCAGGGCAGGTTAGACACAGAAGATAAACTTCAGAGCAGTAGTGGGGGGGGGGGGGTGAGGCAGGGCGAGGCCTGGAACTAGACAGGGCAAAACCTCACTAGGATGGACAGGGAAGGTTGGCAAGGGGGTACAGGGCCAGGCCACAGCTGAGATCATATTACATTTAAATATTTGAAAAATACCGAAATATGCTAAGCCCAGACTTGCTAAAAAGAAGGCCTCATCCCCAGAAAGCTTGCAATCAACTCCGAGAACAGGGAAATCAAGTCAACAACACATGCTTTGTTTCACACTGAGAGGCCTAGAGAGACTCTTGGATTCTCCAACAATACTAACACACCCAGAATGCCAAATCTTATTTGAGTTTTCCAACAGAAGCTGGACAGAACTGCCACCTATTATTTTAATGGTCTATACTTGAACTTGTAACTCGAAGGGTGAGGCAAAGAATATAAAACCAGTTACACCTCTCTGTCACAGGAAATTCAGCAGATTTTCTTGCTTATTGGTAGAAGTCAATGGTTTTGCCAGACTGATTAGCCTGAAATGCAGAGGGCATTGACCCAGGTGCAGGACTGCTGGATTCGTCTCAGCTCTGCACCTGAACAAAGTGCATGACCTCGGAGAGTTATTCTACCTCTCAGTGCCTTATCTGAAATTTTATGATGATATGCTTGCTAGTGCAATGCAATCAGAGAAAAGAAATTAGCTAGGTGCCAGGTGCCAGTGCTTCATGCCTGTAATCCTAGCTACTCTGGAGGCTGAGACCTGAGGCTTGCTGTTCAAAGTCAGTCTGGGTAGAAAAGTCCATGAGATTCTTTTTGCCAGTAAACTAGCAAAAAGCCAGAGTGGAGCTGTGGGTTAAGTAGTACAGTGCTAGCCTTGAGCAAAAAAAATAGCTAAGGGATAGTCCCCAAGCCCTGAGCTCAAGCCCTAGTACCAGCACACACACACACACACACACACACACACACACACAAATACACACACACATACACACACACACACACACACACACACACACACACATTGGATTACATCAAACCATAAAATTTCTGCATAGTAAAGGAGATATCGGTGTATAGAATAACCTGTAGATTAGAAGAAAATATATATTTGCAAGGTATGCATCAAAAAAGGCTAATATCCAAATTGTAGTAGCAGCACAAACAATTCAATAATTAGAAAAAAAGGAACAGAACTGAATAGGTATTTCTCAAGAGAATACATACAAGTGATCAACAGGCCTATGAAAAAATACTAAATATCATTTATCATTAGGGAAATGCAAATAAAAACCACAGTGAGGACAGGCACTAGTAGCTCATGCCTGTAATTTCAGTTATTCAGGGGACTGAGATCTGAGGAAGCTAGTGTGGGCAGAAAAATCCTCAAAACTCTTATCTCCAATTAGCTAGCAAAAAGCCTGAAGTAGACTTATGACTCAAGTGGTTGCTCACCAGCCTTGTGCAACAACTCTAAGTGTGAGCAAGAGGCCCTAAGTTCAAGCCCCAGTATCAGCACACAAAAAAGTAAAATGATGTGGGCTAAAGACTTAAAGAGAAACTTCTCTGAAGAGGAAATAAGAATGGCCAATAGACACATGAAAAAATGCTCAATTTCTCTAGCCATAAAAGAAATGCAAATCAAAACAACATTGAGATACCACCTCACCCCAGTTAGAATGGCTATAATCAATCAAGAACTCTAAACAATAGATGCTGGAGGGGATGTGGCCAGAAGGGAATCTTACTGCATTGTTGGTGGGAGTCTAAACTTGTTCAACCACTTTGGAAAGCAGTACGGAGATTCCTCAGAAGACTCCACATAGAACTCCCCTATGACCCAACAATCCCACTTTTGGGCATTTACCCAAATGATCACAAACAAGACCATACTAAAGCTGCCAGCACCACTATGTTTATTGCAGCATTATTTACCATAGCTAAGATATGGAACCAACCCAGATGCCCCCCAGTAGATGAATGGATCAAGAAAATGCTATATATATGTGTATATATATACATATATATGTATATATATGTGTGTGTGTGTGTGTGTGTGTGTGTGTGTGTGAATTCTATGCCTCCATCAGAAAGAATGACATCACCCCATTTGTTAGAAAATGGAAAGACTTGGAAAAAATTGTATTAAGTGAAGTAAGCCAGGCCCAAAGAAACATAGGTCCCATGGTTTCCCTTATTTGCAATAACTAGTATATGTCTGAGACAAGCAGAAAAGGTCAGATAAGATGATGTTAAGCGAAATGAACCCCAAATAGGTACACTAAGTGTGTTCATCAACGGGTGAAAGGATAAAGAAACTATTCACACAAAACAGAATACTACTCAGCCTTGAAAGAGAAGAAAATTATACAACTTGTGACAACATGAATGAAATGGAAG